ATATCATAATGAATTTCATATAGCCCAGATGCCCCTGCTGTTGACAAATGTTTTGGTCTATGCTCTTTCAAAAACATTAAGAGAATAATGTGAAGAGAGTCTGGTTGACTTCCCTGAAACATGTAAATAGGTTTGAGGACATTTGTGTGCTTGCTAACAGGAAAAAAAAATTATCCCTACTCTTCCGGTAACGACTATTTTCTGTAAAGGGAAGCGAGCCATTCTGGAGGTAGCATGAGGACACAGAGCTGTACCCAGAATCGCAGGCAGCTGCATTCTGACACAGTACCACTCCAGGGAAGGAGCCGCTGTGTGCTCTTGTCCTGGTGCTTCAGGAGACGTTCGTTAACACAGTCTGTGATATTATGGCTAAAAGAACTGTTCAAGCTCATCATTGAAAAACTTGGTCATTACTTGGTTTGCACTGGGACTTGTTTGGTGTCTCTTTATGCTAAAGCAGTTGTCTAAGCCATAGCTGAAGAATGTACAGGGACAAAGTCTGCATTTAAATAGTGGCTCTTGGTAGCTCTGAAGGAGATGCTACTGACGTACTCTGAATAAACAGCATTTTAAAGAATCACTTTAATAATTTTTAAAGACCTCTTGATGTTGTTCTGCTCTAGCTAATGATGGCTGGGGGCTGGGTTCCCTGCAAAGATCTCCATGCCCAGACATTTCCAAATTCTTCCTTTTCTTTTGGTTAGGACCGTGCTGAAAAATACCAGCCTCCTGACATGAACACAGCAAAAGACTCACTCATGGCAGCTGAGTGGGCAAGTGCTGCAGAGCCCGAGCTCCCCTGGTGAGGTGCATATGGGGAGGCCAGCTCCCCAGTTCATGGGGGGCTACATGTGCAATGGCTCTGGGTTCCCAAGGTAAATTTTGCTACATCTGCACCATGGAGAACCAGTGTCCATGCAACAGAAGAGGGATGGAGATGATGGATAGAGCTGATGGTCCTCTGGGTCACGTTTGGGCATGGCAGGCTACAGAGTACCTGGCTGCAGCATCCCCTGGCCAGGAGAAGGGGAGTGTCTGGGTGCATGAGGGAGACGGTCCCTACCAGAAGAGCAGCCCCCTGTCATGATGCAGATTAATTTCTGGGGGAAAAGAGAAGCAAAAAGGGGGAAGAGAACGTTGGATGCTGGCTGTGATGTCAAACTGCCTGTAGCACCTCCTTAGTGGGGACAATTACCAGCATCACGCTGGCTTTACTCTGTGTGCTGATTTCCTAGAAAGATTTTTATTGCTTTATTTAAAGCTCACTTACATTAGCTAACAGACGCCCTCACTGCAGTGTCACTGATTAGCTTACGCAGCCTGAGGAGTGTCAGACTGTCGCCATCAAAAAAAGACCTAAGTCTGTGTCCCAGTTGTGGCTGGCTGTTGCAGAGACAGCAGGGTTATAGTGAAATCTTCTCCCAAGCCTGCTGTGGAGCTGGAGGGCTGGCATCGCCCAGCGATCCGAGGCACAAACAGCCCAGGGCTACAAGCAATTCTGTCCAACACATAAAAGCATTTAAAAGCTGAAGGAATCTCAAAAGGGAAATTAAAGACCACAGAAATTATTAAAAAGTCTCTTTTGAAGTGGTCAATAATGTATGGACTGTATTGCTTACTTCTAAAGGATGAAAAAAAAGATACAAGAGTAAGCATTCCTGTTTGAGTCTCCAGGACCCTAGGATGGCTGTGAGGACAGATGTTTGGGCTGGGAGGGTGGTGGGAGTGAGCCTGTGGTGGGGATGGGCAGTGTGGGGCTGGATGCCTGCAGATGTGCGCAGCTCCAATGCCTCCACGTCTGCCCCAGACCTGCTGGGCACAGCTTGGCTGAACGGTCCCCAGTGCTGAAATATAAGGGGTTTTTTTTCTTTTTTTTTTGTGTCATTGGTAGAGTTAGTTGGAACATATCAGGCTGTGCCTTTTGGTGTGTGTTTAGTTTATTTCTAGCTTGGAAAATATGTCTGTACAAACATATAAATCAATGCCAATTTTAATCTTATTGTTCCAAACCTAAATTATCAGAAATCTGACATTATTTTGCCACTAGAAATGAAAATCAGTTGTTTCAAATGCCAAGTTAAACCCACTCAGTAGACAGCCACATAACAGAAGAATATTTTGAAGCTGGAGGCCCAGCCTTTCCTTCTAGGGAAAATGGTGGTGGTGCAGTTAATACGCTTGAGGAAAGGGATTCCATCCAGAGGGTCCTTGACAGGCTTGCGCAGTGGGGCCATGCAAACTTCATGAAGTTCCACAAGGCCAGGTGCAAGGTCCAGCACATGGGCCAGAGCAATCCCAATATCCATACAGACTGGGGTATGAAAGGATTGAGAGCAGCCATATGGGGAAGGACTTGGGAGTATTGGTGGATGAAAAACTGGACATGACCCAGCAATGTGTGCTTGCAGCCCAGAAAGCCAACGGGATCCTGGGCTGCATCAAAAGAAGCATTAGCAGAAGGTCAATGGAGGTGATTCTCCCCCTCTACTCTGCTCTCATGAGACCCCACCTGGAGTACTGCATCCAGCTCTGGGGCCCCCCAACATAAGAAGGACCTGGACCTGTTGGAGCAGGTCCAAAGGGCCATGAAAATGATCAAAAGACTGGCCTGGAGAAGAGAAAGCTCTGCAGAGTCTTTATTGTGGTCTTTCAATATATAAAGGGTGCTTAAAACTAAGACAGAGAGACATTTTTTTACCAAGGCCTGTAGAGACAGGACAAGTGGCAATGGTTTTGAACTGAAAGAGGGTAGCTTTAGATTGGACATAAGGACATAAGGAAGAAAATTTTAGGGTTGTGAGACATTGGAACTGGTTGCCCAGAGAAGCTGTGGATGCCCAGAGAAGTTGTGGATGGCCAGGCATTGGAAGGGTT